TAATAATAATAATGCTTCTTTTGTGTGGTAGTACATTTAGTAGTTTTAATAATAAATTAAATCAATGGTAAAAGGGGAGAGAAAAAAGGCAGAGAATGAAACCAAGTTTGGGGTCTGTAGGGTTGAGGAGCCCCCGGATGTATTTCCTCACGTTTCCTGTATCCCAAATGTCCCATTTCCATGTGGAAATTGGGTTTTCCTGCCAAAAAGGGTCGTTCTGGTTCAATCCCGAAGGAATTGGGGTCTGAATCCCCTTCCCCGGGGCTGAATCCCAAAATTCCACAGGAGGAGCGATCGCGGCGGGAGCGCGTGCGGCAATCCCGCATGGACACCGACCTGGAGACCATGGACCTGGACCAGGGCGGAGAGGTAAAATCCCAAAATACCCAGGATCCGATCCCAAAAAAACATTGGGATCCGATCCCAAAAAAGCCCAGGAACTGATCCTAAAAACCCTGGGATACAATCCCAAAAAACCCTGGGATATGATCCCAAAAACCCCCAGGATATGATCCTGTAAAATCCCTGGATCTGATCCCATAAACCCCAGGATCTACTCATAGTCCTCCTGGGAACTCCCCAGCAAGGCCCCAAAGGGATTTGGAGTGCCCAGAGCACAGAAATCCTAGAGATGCGCTCTGGGGTCATTTCACCTCAGAGATTCTGCTGATCCCAGGATGCAGACCACGGCCCAGGATGATCCCCTGACCCTTTTCCCATTCCCAGGATCACCCCCTGACCCTTTTCCTGTTCCCGGGATAATTCCCTGACCCTTTTCCCAATCTCAGGATGATCCCCCGACCCTTTTCCTGTTCCCAAGAGCACCCCCTGACCCTTTTCCCGTTCCCAAAATGATCCCCTGACCCTTTTCCCGTTCCCGGGATGATCCCCTGACCCTTTTCCCATTCCCAGACTGCCCCCTGACCCTTTTCTCATATTCAGGATCACCCCCTGACCCTTTTCCTGTTCCCAGGCTGCCTCCCTGACCCTTCACCCGTTTCCCCTGCTGTTCCCCTGACCCTTTTCCTGATCCCAGGCTGATCCCCTGACCCTTTTCCCATTCCCGGGCTGCCCCCTGACCCTTTTCCCATATTCAGGATCACCCCCTGACCATTTTCCCGTTTCCAGGATGACTCCCTGACCCTTTTCCCATATTTAGGATCACTCCCTGATCCTTTTCCTGTTCCCAAGAGCACCCCCTGACCCTTTTCCCATTTCCCTCCGTGTTCCCCTGACCCTTTTCCCATTCCCAGGATGATCCCCTGACCCTTTTCCCGTTCCCAGGCTGGCCCCTGACCCTTTTCCCGTTCCCAGGATAATCCCCTGACCCTTTTCCCATATTCAGGATCATCCCCTGACCCTTTTCCCATTCCCGGGATGATCCCCTGACCCTTTTCCCATTCCCATGATGATCCCCTGACCCTTTTCCCATTTCCCATGGTGTTCCCAGGCTGCCCCCCTGACCCTTTTCCCATTCCTGGGCAGCCCCCCTGACCCTTTTCCTGTTTCTCAGATTTCCCCCCTGACCCTTTTCCCGTTTGCCATGGTGTTCCCAGGATGATCCCCTGACCCTTTTCCCATTCCCAGGATGATCCCCTGACCCTTTTCCTGTTCCCAGGACCATCCCCTGACCCTTTTCCCATATTCAGGATCACTCCCTGACCCTTTTCCTATTCCTGGGATGATCCCCATGACCCTTTTCCCATTCCCAGGCTGCCTCCCTGACCCTTTTCCCGTTCCTGGGATCACCCCCTGACCCTTTTCCCATTTCCCCCGCTGTTCCCCTGACCCTTTTCCCATTCCCAGGATGATCCCCTGACCCTTTTCCCGTTTCCCAGGCGCTGGCCCCGCGGCAGGTGCTGGATTTGGAGGATCTGGTGTTTGCCCAGGGCAGTCATTTCATGGCCAACAAGCGGTGCCAGCTGCCCGACGGTTCCTTCCGGCGCCAGCGCAAGGGCTACGAGGAGGTGCACGTGCCCGCCCTGAAACCCAAACCCTTCGGGGCCGACGAGGTGAGTGAGCTGGGGAACCCCAAAAAAGGGACCTGGGAGATCCTTCCAGACCCTAAAGGGGCACCACGAGGGCTGGGAGGGATGACACGGGAATGGGGGGATTGGGGTGGGAATTTGGGATGAAATTCTTCCTTTTGGGGTGGGGA